CAGTTTTTCACGGCGAATCGAATGGTGCTATTTTTGTTTCCGTACGAGGTCTAGAACTTCCAAAAAAAATCATTTTTCAAAATTTTTGTGTGTCGTGACGTCATAAAATTTTGAATAACTCCCACATTTTTGAACCGATTCTTCTAAAAATTGGTATGTAGGTGCACATAGACCACTTCTTTGACATATATTCCGGTTTTTTTGATAAACTCAAAATGTTGGATTTTATAAATATTTTTCCAAAAGTCAGTTTTTTGGAAAATTTTTGGCCAAAATCCAAAATTTTCAAAAAACCCAGATAGCCATTTGATAGACAAAGTAGAATCACGTATAACCTTTTTGTTACGTCTTGATTCCTTTAAAAATGAAGATGTTAGCGGCATTTGAAATTTTGCCGTTTTTGAGGCGAAAATGGCGAACATGACGTCACTAAAACGTCAATTTCTCAAAAATGTTCTGACGGATTTCGCTCACATTTTCAGGGAACGTGTCAAATTGATGTATGATAAGGTACTGAAAGTTTGGCGTCGCTGGCGTAACGCGTTTAGAAGTTATTGGCGAAAAACGGGAGGGGGGGGGGGGCAGATTCTGCCCCCCCCCAGCGGGGCGCGGGTTAAGGCTGACGAACTGAGCCACGAGTTTGTCAGCATCCACAGCATCCACCCGGTGCCGGTGTACGTGGCAGACAGCCACCGAGGTGAGTCGGTCCTGGCGCATCGTCGAACGAAGCCAAGTCTTCAGGCGGCGCAGCGCACTGAAACTCCTCTCGACCGTTGCTGAGCTTGCAGGCAGTGTCAGGAGGAGCTGCTTATACTTAATACACGTTTTCCCGTGCATAAAAGAGCTTGTTCACTTCTGGGAACATTGCTCTTGCGGGCTCAGGCACCTCCTGCATGATGTTGACCGCATCCTGAAGAGACTTAGGTCTTCTGTCCCGGTAAAAAAAAAACTTGTTCGGTAAAGGATTACTTCTTTTTTTCCGCAGAATGACAGGTAACTGAGAAAAAGCAGCTCGAAAACTTCGATTGACATTCAATTTGAGGAGGGGATAATCCCCCCACCCTCACTCCAGGGGGGACGGTGTCCCCCCATCCCCCCTGTGGCGACGCCTATGCCCCCCCCCCTACACATTAGAAGCTGGCAAACGCCGCACACATGCGAGGGTTAACTGGCCGTGTTGTCCCAAGCACGGTTGCCTGGCCGTGTTGTTTATGTTTTTTTTAGATTTCACCTCTGTCGATCGTCCCCCCCCCCAGTCAAAAATCCGTGGCGACGCCCCTGCCTGCAGCCTCAACGAATAACTTCTAGTAAAGCCTATCCACCAAACCAAATACCATCGACCTCCTAACCTTTCGGTAATGCCACCAGGCGCCAACAGCTAACAGCTCTGTCCGCAATTCATTGCTTTGTTAAGTGCATCTGTACCGGCCGAGCAACGAGTTGCCACGCGGCGCGCAGCCGGCGCCAAGTGCAGCTGCACCTAGCGAGCGAAGAGCTAGCACGCGGCGCGCCGATTTGGCGCGCTTTTGGTTCCCGCGCTTTCCTGCTATTTGGCGGGAGACAGAGTGGCGGGGGCGGCGGGGGGCGTATTTACAAATTGCAACCGAGCTCCGCCGTAGGGTATTTTATTTCCGCCGTAGTGTATTTCACTTGGGGGATTTTCTACCATACATCTGCCTGAGCTTAGGGTAATTACAATTTGTCGGCGACGTTAAAAAATGATGCACGTTTTTTTCGCAGTATAGGATATCGCATGTGCATATTTCTGCCTTTTTGGGTACGCATTATCGGTTTTTCGTGAGTAACTCGCGTAAAAACCGTCCGATCGCGACGAAACTTTCAATACCCCCGTTTTTATCAATTTTACACCTACCATGAAAATTTTATAACCCTGACCCAAATGACCTTTGACCTGTGACCTATTTCTCGAGACCATGTTTGGCCCGAATCGCGATTCGTCGTATGTCGGCTCGCATTAGCCGCGCGGTTGCAGTCTTCACGTGGTTTCAAGCGTTGAAACATGTGATGTGATGCTGGTCCCATGCATTAGGGTGGGTGTCAAGGTCACCTGAAGGTCAGGTCAGCTCAATGACCTTTGATGACCTCGGTTCACTTTTTCGAGTTTTACATGTTTCTAGGCTAGTTTTTGGAGCTGATTTCGAATTTAGCAACCATTCGAACATCACAGGGGGTGTAACGAAATTATCCGGACACCTTTCTTCCCGCTGTAAAAGCAAAACAATCTGGTACTTTTTCTTTTAACTGAGCTTGTAGCCACCTTTCAAAAATACACAGTTTACTCACCTCGTTTACTCACCTCGTTGGTTTCTGCATATCTTTGGAGTGGTTTCAAAGGACAGTCAGAGAGGAAATGAGGAACCCACACAGTGGCGAATGTTCTGGAGCATTTTCAGCCAATGGATTCTCCAGCACACTGGCTTTGATGCGGACCAACGCCGTCCAAACCTGTGCCTGCGGTTGAGCAGTGCTTATGGCGGTTGGCTGTTCATACACCTCCTGCTAAAGAAAAGCCCACAGGTTTTCAATTGAATTGGGATCGCGACTTTTTCCAAGTCATAAGCGTTAGCCCAGAATGATTGAAGGTTCTATCGGCATCACTTCCCGTTCATTTAGGGACTTTTAAGTAGCGCGCCGCCACGCATGAAGACAGCGTGGCTTGAATCAGGCATCAGTGCGCGTTCAGAAACCGTGCCCTCCTATGCCGTCTGGTTGAGCGCCTCCAATCATGCTCCACCACCTTCCCTGGAAAAGCCCCACCCTTGCCTATGGCCTATGGGGCAAAATATAAGGGACAAAAAACAAGACAGATAAAAACAAAGCAAAATTAACTCAACCTAATGAAATTCAGGCTGGAGCAAAAACATAGGTAATAGGTATCTATGTCAAATTAGAATGAAAGATTAAAATCAACCTGACCAGGCCTTACGGTCTGACCGGGTCCTAACCACCTTACTTCGCCTAACTTGACCCAATTCAACCTAGCCTACCACAACACCTGCAGAGGTACCTTCCTGGAAAAATGACGCTCACGCCCAGGGAGATGACTGTCCAACTTATAGGAATACTACCATGATTGCTTGTCAAAATGTGTGTCATCATGCTCTTGTTTGACAAGTGATGTATAATGACAAGAAGAAATGACAAGAAGAAAGAAAAAAAATAAATGTGATATTTAATAATTATCTCCTGACTGTTGACTGTTGAGTGATCAAAACATTCAAATAATCAGGGTACAATCCTGTGCATAGTGCACACCAATCATGTTGTTTTTGTGTAGGCCCTCTGCACATTGTTGTGTGCACTGCTATGTGCACCTTAAGTAAAAAAGTGACTGGTGGTACATGACAAAAGGTTGAGCAACTGTGAAGTTCATGCCCTTGGTCTTGCTGGTGCCAAATGCCTATAGCTATAGCAGGATCAGTGAGGGTTGCAGACATGCTACATACATTGTGCATTGAAGATATTGGCACAAAGTTCATCCGTAATTACTATGCTTAACACCTGATGTAAGAACTGAAGCGACATAAATGCCCAGATGATAAAGCTCTCTGGTCAACATCACACAAATTTATTGACATACTTTGCAGGTACATATTTACATTCATGGCAAATACTTTTGATTTGATTCAGAAACTTGTTGCTAGTAAGCTTGCATTTTTGTAGGTACAACAACGACCATATATTAAATCATAAAAAAAACCTTCTCATGGCATTCACTTCACATACCTTTTAACTGAACAAGTACCTTATACCTAACTACCATGCAATGATTCTAAAATTTGTCCGCAATCCATCTATATCTCAACTGACACAATGAATTTCAAATACCCTAACAAAACATATAACTGTACATAAGAAGAATACAATACTACAAGAATTATGAATTTCTGAAGTTATTCTCACATGCTGGAATGTTAAAACTCTACTTTTGTCGTCCATTTCCATGTTTGATTGAGCCAACATATAGAACTGTTTTCGTTCTTCAGTCACAAGCTTTCCCAAAAATCTTGAATTTTTACACATCATCTTGAACCATGCTCCAGTCTTTCCAACAAGATACTATGTAACATCAAAGCAATTTTGATTTGCTACAACAGCTTCAGATCATGATAGGCTTGAGGTTTGTTACACCATTTGCCAGACAAATCTCTACAAAATGTGTATCAATTCCCAAACTAAGTAATTGATCATATCAGTATTTGCAGTTTCCACACAATGTTTCATAATACTATTCTATGTTTATATAAAGAAACTCAAATAATCCACAATTGTTATTGAAACACTCCCACTTCAAGAATTCACAGCAATAACAGTACAAGTTCAGATTCAGAAGCAAACAAACATTGCGCCACATTTCGTATGAAACGCGCCATCGTCCTGAAGTTTCTACCACAGACGGTAGTTCAACCGCAGCCGTAGTGCGAAAACCCCTGCCCACCTTACCCCACGGCGGAGCTCGGTTGCAATTTGTAAATACGCCGGCGGGGGCGGCGGGAGCACAGAGCAGCCACCGGCAGTCGGCTCTGGTTGTTAATAAATATAAGCGGGATCCACTGTATAATACCTAGTGGCGTCATATTACCTAGTGACGTCACATCGTGAAGATGTGCCGCTAAACACGACGCATTCGCCACCTGTCAGGCGAGCCTAAAACTAATAGTTTATAACAAATATGCCAGGTGGCGCTACTGAGTCTCTTGAGTGGATCCATCTTTTCTGTATTGTTTTGGATGATACGATTCTGGATGTTGCATGCTTGGATGTTTCGCTCTTGGATGAACCGTCTTTGGATGATACGATTCTCAGATATTCTCGTGCTGCCATTTTGGATGATACGGTTTTGGATTCTGCATCCTTGGATGTTTCGCTCTTGGATGCTCTGAATGCTCCCAAAAGAGCCGATTTTGGATGTTATTTGGAGGTTTTGATCACTGGATGCTGCGGTTTTGGTTGTTGCGTATTTTGGATGCTGCGCTCTTGGATGCTTTAATAGTCCCCCATCCCAAAAGAGTAAACAAAAGTAAAAGTCTAATATCTTGAAAACCGGTGAATATTTTTCGGTGAAATTTGGTAGATATTCGTTTTCGCTCTTTCTGAACCGAGCGACATCACTTTAATGCCAATTCATAAACTTTTTTGAAGGTGGGAGGGTCCCTTTAATGCAATGGTTGTTCTATAGGTTAGATATCCAATTCTATATGCATTTCAATTTTGTGAGTCGATATTTTTCCATTATTCAATGTTAAACTGTCTTTGATCGAATGTTGAGTGCCTCTGCTAAGTGCTATGTGTACTAAGCGGATGATTAGCAAGGATTCACAGAGGATCAGGATTGACTCATGTTGACAGCATGAGTTGAAACTTTGAAAGCTGCCCTCACCCTATTTCAATTTTTATCAGTATCGCAATGGCTTCATCCATCAGATGCGTTGATTAGATAATTGTGCCACATAGCTATAGGTCACATTCCGGGTCGCGCCTGGCTCAAACATTAGTTAATTCCTATAATGTAGACAGCCCATGATTTTATTAAGAAACTCGTGTTTAATAGGAGAAAAGCATCATCCAGTTAATCTGATTGACAACTTTCAACCCAGGCTAACTAACCATATATTTACTTCAGGTCTGAGACACAAACATCCCATAGTGATAGCGACTAGCGTGCTAGGTTAGTTGTGGTTATGTGAAGCTAATTAGCATCAAATGATGCAGTTACACACTTTGTAACATTTCCTCCCAGTCATCTGCAACATCGTACCCTCAAATATCAGAAAATTTGGCAACCCATTTTTTGGACAGATAAAGTTAAAGCTCAGGAATTTCTGGGCAGACCTAGTGGCAAAGTGCATCTGTGCTAGAGCTCTGATTTCTGAGTCAGAGCTGGGCAATTCCACGACAAATCACCTAATTTTTTTCCAATTGTTCACCATGACCTCTCCGATTTTGCTCAAATTTGGCATGTAAGTTGACCTATGGGCACTACTTCGTCCCAGGAAATTTTTAGTCTCTAGGTCACAGGAGTCATGAGATATGGGTCATGCAAATTTTTAGGTTTTCCGGAACACTGAAATATAAAGTATTTTTTATCTCTGCAACGGTTCACCGGATCAAAAAAAGTTATATATGAAATAAGAAGCGCAAAGGCTGGTGCGTCTAGCAAAAATGTGAACGAAACCCCAGGGTCATTTTTTGACCCTTTGACCTCGTGACCTTTTCTTGACCCCGTGACCTTTCAAATTTGTCCTATTTTAAAAATTCTGATTTTTTCTATCAGAGATGTCTTATCCATGCTCTTAATAGTGGTATGTGATTTGGTTGGTATATCGGACCCGTTGACCTCAAACTGAGGTCAACAATGTGGTCATGACCTGACATGAAAATGACATCTGACGAGAACGTCGAGAATCATAGGCAATATGGGTGTCATATGAAAGCTTACTTCACGGAGAATACATTGGTGGTGTTTTTGAGTAGGTATGGGCCGGGTCAAGGTCACATTAGGTCAGTGACCTAACACAGCATTGTGTTCTTTGAAGGTGGCGTATTTTGTTTGTTTGGTAAGCCCAGTGATCAGCACACAATAAGAAGGAAACAAAACGTCATAAAACACCATCTGCCTTTATTCAAAAAGCACAGATAAAATGCATTCACCCATATACACACACTCGCACAAACACACACACATACATACACCTTGTTCGAGGAAGATCTTTCAAACAAACCTCAGTAACACACGTGGTGTGAAGAACGAGTCTCAGAAGACTAGGAGAGCTTGAAGGCTGCTATGGTGTGGGAGTCGAGCGGTACAAAGCGGTGAAACGTCCTGGTACCTACTACCTACCCTTCACCGTGCGGGCACTTGTGAACCGTTCTCTTTCATTTTCGTCTTCGTTCCTGCTATTTGCGTTGCCGAAACGAAGAAGAGATGCATTTTATCGGTAAGGTGGTCCTCACAGTATTACCAATACCATCGCATGCGCTTTTGCCATGCGAGGTGGCAAAAAATCCACTCACATTGAACACCGAAATCCTCGGCATGATGACATATATTTGCAAAATTGTATTTGTTCTTGTACTGGGACGCTGCTCCGTCAGAGAAGTAGTGTATTTTTTAGTCTTGGGCATTCATTTCCAATGTGGGGAATAACCACTGCCTGAAATGCCGCTTCAGCTCCCGCGTCAGCTCCCGCAACGCAAATAGCAGAAACGAAGACAAAAATGAAAGAACGCTTCACAAGTGCCCGCATGGTGAAGGGTACCAGGACGTTTCACCGCTTTGTACTGCTCGACTCCAATACCATAGCAGCCTTCAAGCTGTCCCGAGTCTTCTGAGACTCGTTCTTCACAGCGCGTGTGTCACTGGGGTTTGTTTGAAAGAACTTCCTCGAACAAGGTGTATGAATGTGTGTTTTTGCGAGTGTGTTTATATGGGTATGTGTGCATTTTATCTCTGCTTTTTGAATAAAAAAAGACGTTTTATGACGTTTTGTTTCCTTTCTATTGTATGCTGATCACTGGACTTACCAAACAAATAAAAGACGCCACCTTCAAAGAACACAATGCTGTGTTAGGTCACTGACCTTATGTGACCTTGACCCGGCCCATACCTACTCAAAAACACCACCAATGTATTCTCCGTGAAGTTAGCTTTCATATGACACCCATATTGCCTATGATTCATGACGTTCTCGGCAGATGTCATTTTCATGTCAGGTCATGACCACATTGTTGACCTCAGTTTGAGGTCAACAGGTCCGATATACCAACCAAATCACATACCACTATTAAGAGCATGGATAAGACATCTCTGATAGAAAAAATCAGAATTTTTAAAATAGGACAAATTTGAAAGGTCACGGGGTCAAGAAAAGGTCACAAGGTCACAAGGTCAAAAAATGACCCTGAGGTTTCGCTTACATTTTTGCTAGACGCACCAGCCTGTGCGCTTATTATTTCATATATAACTTTTTTTGATACGGTGAACCGTTGCAGAGATAAAAAATACTTTATATTTCAATATTTCGGGAAACCTAAAAATTTGCATGACCCATATCTCATGACCCCTGCGACCTAGAGACTAAAAATTCACTGGGACGTAGTAGTGCCCATAGGTCAACTTGCATGCCAAATTTGAGCAAAATCGGAGAGGTCATGGTGAACATGCCTAGGTGATCTGTCATGGAATTGCCCAGCTGTAAGAGCCCAGAGGCCATCATAGCCTTCGATTCTCCTAATTGACATTCAAGATGTGGTAAATGTGAAGATGAAATCTGAGTAGATATAAAACACAATCCAACCTGACCTAACCTTACATACTAACCTACTAATCTTCAACCTACCAACCTACACCCTACATACCTACAACCTACCAACCTACAACCTGCAACTTATGAACCTACAACCTACCAACCTACACATACCACTTGGACTTCATCTTCACATATACCTGAGAATTGAGATACTACCTACATGATTGTTATGATTTGACATTTCTATGATAAATATTAATCAAATGAGTCCATATTTCATTCCATAGAACAATTATACTTATATATGACATCATTTTCAAACATCAGGTACTGAATGATAATCATCACCTTTTTGCAGCTTAGTGTGCTTGGAGCAGGAAGAGATTTCTCATTGTTTATAGGTGAATTAGGCTCAGGCAAACAGTTGTTCATGATATAAGTGCTTCTGGCTTTCACTGTTCCTGTTCATCACTGCTCCTCTAAACCACTCAGAATACAAAATGGGCAAGGTTACACATAAGAAGCTGAAGAAGGCAAAGAAACTTCCCAAGTCAGAATTGAAAATGCAGAAAACCACAAGCAAAGAAGTTGTCAAAAATAGCATTGTTGAGTCATCTACCCCAGAAGATCAACCAAAGGTAAGTACTTTGAAGAAGATGTGAGATGCATTCAAAATAGGTACTGTGTTGGAGGTATGCTAATGTTGTTAATATTTATGAATAATACCCCTTAAAAAAGTTTGTTGCTATAAAATTAGAAAAATTGAATTGTGATAATTTATATTAAATGCTTAGCAAATGAAAACCAAAGTTTTGTCAATAATTAGCATAGCCAAAGCTGCTAACCATTTTGCCCATCTTAAGTGCGAAACTATTGAAACAATTCATATGACCCTCCTTTCCTTTCAGCATTTGTGTATAAATGGGTCAATACAATGTTTTCTTCATTTTCTCCAGAAGGACAAGTGGATCAACAAGCAGCGCGTTTTGGTGTTTTCGTCGCGCGGCATCTCGCACCGCTACCGCCACCTGATGACCGACATCAAGGCCATGCTGCCGCACGCCAAGGCCGAGTCCAAAATGGACAAAAAGGACGAGAAACGCGTCATAAATGAGGTGGGTCAATCTAGAATTACAATGTGAGGCAATATATTCCTGCCCGGGGCCCAGTGTTCCAAAATTATATTTCGGCTTGGGTGTCGGAGGGGAATATTCGTCACTATAAAGAGGGTTGAGAGTGGAAAAATGCCAGTCAGAAAGGCAAAAAAAAAAAAGAGCGGAACATGCAGGGATCAACAATGTTTTTGTGAATGTTGAAGGATGTGGGAGCTGCTTTATAAGATAGTTGAATCGAAAATGGAGCGAGGTAAAAGGTACCCGCAGATGCTCTTTATTGGTAAAATAGGGAGTGAAAAATTGCTCTGGAAAGTTGGAGGTTAGAGTGGAAAATTATTTTGATTTGGATGTCATTTTCCACCCAAACTGGCAAACTTTGGGACACTGCGGGGCCGGGATGATTCAATAAATGTCACCGAGGTTTTTTAGCGAAAACTCCGAGGACCGTTAGGCCCGAGGTGATTTTGCTAAAAAAAGCGAGGTGACATTTATTGAATTCCCGGCCTTAGGGCTGGAAGGTGTTTCCCATACCTGCCAAAAAGCTCACAACTATATGATAGTGACGTCAGCAGCCGTGTGGTTCAATGTGTTTAACCACACCTTGAACCACACCCCTTGAACCAATACCATCATTGCATTAAACTTTGAAAAGTGTGGTACAGTGCACGTGCCGTTTAAATGCCTGGATGTCTCGATTTAATCATGCAATGTAGCAGGTATGGGAAGCCAAATAGCCAAATTCGAACTCCAGGGGGTGGGAGTGGAGGGCTTTTCGCGATTCCACTGAAATATCGGGAACTACAAGAGGTAGGTATACAGGGTGTCCCATAAGTTCGTTCTCACCTTATATTTGCATGTAAAACAGAGTACATTGCGTTTTGATATGTTTATGACCCCTCAATGTGCTCCCCATTTCATAGGCAAACACATGAATACATGCTGCGGCATGCCAACCGGCATGTTTGGCAGTATAGCAGGCTTGAAGTTAGCCCAGACTGACTTGGCATGCGCCGTGAGCCCCTCGAGGCTGGAACAGCGCTTCGCTTCGACGAGTCTCGATTTCAATATTTCCAACACATTTTTATGAAATTTGGATCCGATGAGTTGCCTGGGATGTGATCTTGCCACAGACGCCTATCACAGTCTCCTGGCACTGCTTTTAAGCTTTGCTTGACCTCTGCACTGATGCACTGTCTTGCTTGAAGATGGGCCTACGACCTCCCGGATGCCATTTTCTCCTCCAAAAATGTGTTCATACTTGCGGTTCGAGATAAGCTAGAAGGCTGAAACTCCTCCTAGATCTTCTTGGAGAAGCATTCTGCGTCCCAACACCGTTTCTGAAGTATCAATCGCAACCTGCTCAGTGTCTGGACGCATACCTGGACGGTATTACTCCACATTACCGTGACCCTGGCCTTTTGCATAGGTATAAAGCGGGATGACACGAAGGCCTTTTCCGTCGCCCATATGAGAACTTTTGGGGTTTGGACGGGTGCTTTATCTCGAACACGGACTAGGTAGTCCAGATGACCACATTGATGTCATCGGCCCTCCAGTCTTTTAGCCTAAGGCATAACGAAACAAATGTTTGGCCATTTTAAGACATTTTCGACTGTTTTGCGTCCTCCGTTAAGTTTAAGCCCAAGTGACCGTGAGTTATGTACCCCGAAAAAATACTCTTAGACAGCTGGTAATCCATCCTGAAAAGCCTGCTTACCAACTTTCTAACGCTAAGACCTTTTTGACGGCCACTTTGGCGCCACACAGTTTTGGCCACATGGCTCACTCCTGAGAACTGACAAAAAAGAGCATAAACTTGCAGCGATTGACTCCCGACAAATCATCGGTGTCACTTGCTGACTGTGCGTCCAGTTAGCGACAGACATTGGCTACAGACTGGATGGCCTCAATCACCCTCAACAGTCGCAAGAGGCCCACGTGCGAACTAAATACCGAGACGTACCCGTATCGGAGACCTCTAAGTTGCGGCGTAAGCCGTCTCCACAGGAAGTGAACTCTCTAGCAAAAAATATTTTGTCTAGACGAATTAGTTACCGTGGAGCATATTCACAGTTGCCATGGCAACCCCAAAACCTCAGTTACAAAATAAATTAAGCGTAGCTTTAAATAAGAGAGCCTCTAAAAGAAAAATTTAGGTGAGAAGGAACTTATTAGTAGTAAAGTTATCTTGGAACTTATGGGACACCCTGTAGTAGAGACGTTTCTTGGTATAATGATACACTGTTCTTTGAAAAAAGGACGTTTGGAAGAATGCATCATTCTATGAGAAATGGCATCTTGCATATTGTGACATGTTCTCAAATGAAATCCCATAATATCAGCTCATGTCATCTGTTGAAATTGTGGGTTTTTCAAAGCACCAAAGTGCAACATAATCTATTTTATCGGGGAAAATAGATTTATTTACGGAAACGTTAATTATCTTACGGAATCATATAGCTGAAGGATAAATACGCGCAAGGCAATGTTAAATGCGAAGAGATCGACTTTCCATCCTGGTTTATGTGATTCGATCATATTTCAGATCTGTGAGATGAAGAACTGCAACAAGTGCTTGTTTTTCGAGCCCCGCCGAGATTCTCTGTACTTGTGGATGAGCAACGTACCTGATGGTCCCACTGGCTATTTTCTGGTCGAAAGCGGTTAGTTTGCTCTTACTTCGTTTGTTATTCGTGTGTGTGTGTGTGTGTGTTTTTTTTTTTTACAAGTCTTTGTTTTATAGAGGACAGGACATTTCCGATTTTTTACATTGTGTTTACAATCTTGTTTACTTCTTACGGTGTGTTACTGCTCACGATGCTCCTGTCTCTTTTCATATATTTCATAATTAGAGTGCCATTCCAACAGTTAAGTTATCGTTGTGAAGCTGATCGTCGTTTCAACCTGATCTTCCCCTAACCCCCGCCGGCACAGGACATTTTGCGCCCTTTGACGGCACAAGTGGGGGGGGGGGAGGGTACAACCCCTCCCCCCTCGCGTTTGACCCCTGATCGAGCTAGAGCTTCGCGAAAAAAAAAACGAGCGTGTTGCCCGTCACGAGACGAAGCCGATGATACCCAATTTTAAGGTCCTAGGTCATCGGTTGACCTTCCAGGTCAGGTCAATGACCCAAAAGTCGTGAAAATCGGGACCTGTTACGTCGTAAGGTGTGGCTGCTACGGGGGTTTTCGGGGTGCTGATCACGAATATCGTATTAGTTTTGATCACAGATGATGTCTTGAAGCATTTAGACCAGGTCAGGTTAGGTCAGGTCAGGTCAACCAGTAGGGGTCGTGACGGGTATTCGTAGTACATGTCAACCGCCTCTGAAAGCTTCGTAACATGTTACGAAGGCACCAAAACTACTTTGTAAATGTTCAAATGGTTGCTAAATGCGAATTCAGCTCCAAAAACTAGCCTAGAAACATGTAAAACTCGAAAAAGTGAACCGAGGTCACCAAAGGTCAATGACCTGACCTTCAGGTGGCTTTGACATCCACCCTTATGCATGGGAGCAACATCAAATCACATGTTTGAACGTTTGAAACCACGAAAACATTGCAAACGCGCGGCTAATGAGAGCCGACATACTCGTACGCCGAATCGCGATTCCGGCCAAACATGGTCTCAGAAAGAAGGTCACAGGTCAAAGGTCATTTGGGTCAGGGTCATGAAATTTTCAGGGTAGGTGTAAAATTGATCAATGCGAGGGTATTGAACGTTTCGTCGCAATCGGCCGCTTTTTACGCGAGTTATTCGCGAAAAACCTGGGGGGGGGGCCGGGGGGGGGGCATCACCCTTGTGCCGGCGAGGGTTAAGTCGGGTCGTATATCACATAATTATAATCTATTCCCGCATGTCAGTGCATACAATGCAGGAACTCAAGATGACTGGGAACTCGCTGAAAGGCTCGAGGCCTTTGCTGTCCTTCGACACAAACTTCACCCTGCCTCATCTCCAGCTCTTCAAAGAGCTTTTGACACAGGTGAGACGTGCTTTTTCTATGTTTGCGAAAGACTCAGAGGAATAATGAAGTACGGCAACATTATGATAAAAATTAATTATTTTGATTATTTTTCTTCTTCTTCTTCTTGAAGGTTTTTCATATTAAAGGGACTATCCCACCTTTACCATGGGGTTTGAGTTGAGATAGCCAAGTTTGCGGCGAGGTTCAGAAACCACTATCTATCTAGGTTGCAACCCCCGCGGCCTCTTGGTGTTGAAGAAATTCGTTCCCTTCATTTGAAAATGGGCCTTGTATACGAGGCCCTATCTTCAACATGGAGCGACCGTTAGTGTGACGTCACCTCGTTTAGTCATTCTGATTTAAATGGGTTTGTTCGTTGAAGAATCGCTTAAAACTTGGTCTGAACTTTGTTGTGGTGCCTACAGAGTAAAAAGAATCAGCTTTATGACAGTAATGTGGCCTGGGGAAGGAGGTAATTTTGGGCTGTGACGTCACATATTTGAAAGTTTGTGTTTGGAATATGGGAAGCCTAAGATGTTTAATGAAAAATAAATGCCAGAACCGTGTTCCTGGTCATCCAATCTATAAAGTCGGGCACAATTTAACTGGTTTTAACAACATTTTAGAAGGTGGGATAGTCCCTTTAAGCCATTTCACCCTTCCCGGTAATAAACATGAACATTTTAAGGGATCACATCTTTAAGCTTTCCTAATAACCGATATCGTGTACCCGTTTTTCCATCCATGTATTTTTGTCTGCTGTCCTTCGATCATCCATTATAAAAACAAAATAATAGGTGCTTACTGCTTAGGTATCTGCTAGCGGTTTTCATCTAACAGTCCTGCCTGCTCGAACTGGCATAATTTCACTGCACAGGTTTTCGGCACGCCCAAGCGCCACTCGAAATCTCCACCCAGAAAGTTGCTTGTACTGACGTAGTTTCACTGGGCAGGTGTTCGGCACGCCCAAGCTCCACCCGAAGTCTCAGCCGTTCGTCGACCACGTGATGACGTTCTCATGGCTGGACCAGCGCATCTGGTTCCGGAACTATCAGATCGTCCAGGAGACGGGCGCGCTGGCCGAAATCGGGCCCCGGTTCGTCCTCAACCCGGTCAAAGTGTTCGCGGGCAGCTTCCAGGGCGAGAAGCTCTGGGAGAACCCGCACTTTGTCTCGCCAACCTCGGTACGAGTCCGATTATAATGTGCGCCTCTTCGGTGTTAGCGTTTTCAATTTCGTTAGATTGATCTCGAAATGTTTAACGAATTGAATTCTAGTTAATTATATCTTGCTTAATCATGTACCAGAACTTCCCGGTATATTTTTACTAGTTCCCATCGTGTCCCTGTGATAACCGTGATATTTCGATTTGGCAGCGTCGGCGGCTACTGAAAATGTCCCTGGCCCACAAGTACATCCACCGGAAGGACCAGCAGCAGTCGTATCTCGCGCGCAAACCCGGTAAGGACGAGACGGTCAAGGTGGACGTCACCGATGACGTGCTGTTGACGTCACACGGTGACGATAGCGGCGCGGAGGAGGCAGAAGCGCCGCCCAGGCCCGCCCTCGTGAACCGGCGGCGCCACGGAAAGAAGAGGAAGCGCTGAAGTGATTCCAGCCGCGAGTCCTGGGTGATGTACTTTCTACAATGTGATGTGCCGAATACAGCTGTGATGGGGCTGACATAAGGCGTTTAGACCGGGGCGGTTCCGCTCTTGGGCTTTCTGCAATAAGACCGATATGACACTGGCGGATGAGGTGACTGGTGGTTGGCACTATTTCTTTATCTTTCAGAGTTTTCCTCATTTCACGTAGTCAGTTCTGTTCAGTTCTGTTCTGTCTGATCAATAACTATGTTATATTCGCCGCTGATGATGAGGTCGTTGTAGTCTCTCGTAGTCGTAGTACATACTGCCAACAGGGCTAGACGACGCCGCAATATTCACGGCCAAGACTTGCACATGGCGGTGAGCGGAGCCCACAACTGCCTGGAAGGTAGACTGTGCCGCAGAACGGCAAGGCGCTGCGGAACAGTCTACCTCGCGGCACGGCGAGCGGACAACCGTACGATTCCGAGCTCACACAAACTTGTTTTTGGTTAGTAACCGGGACCGAACGAAGCCCAATGAAATTGTTTTTGTTTGCACGAGGGTTGGGTGTTGGAATCCATGAATGCTTGAATGAATGCAATCAATCAATGAATGCGCTGTGCAATGTGCATTGAGAAATGTTTGAAGTCAGCCAGAAGGTTTGGTTTGCATTTGCTGGACTGGCGCTCTCGCAATGCTGCTTTAGTTGAGACATTGTTCGGCTGCTGTTGGTGCAGTCGGCACCTTTTTCTACGTGCCACATTGCTAAAAATTCCTTCGAACCACACAGAAGTTCCGAATCCTTTCAACGACGGACACCAAAATTGGTGGAGCAATACACAATTGTCAGTTACTTCATCTCGCAACGGACGGATCACAGAACTACAATATTTCGACATATAGTTAGGCATTGTTCATTATTTCGGGGTCCAAACAATATATCATCAACACTTATTCAATTTGAAAGTGGGAACGTTTTGAGCAGCTGGCGTTAGTCAGCGGCATTTAACCTCGTCCTTGGCTCATGTTTACTACCAGTATAACGCCTTTTGGGGCGATTAACGGAGCGAGCGAGAGGGTGAGCCTTGCACGTGCGAAATTTCGAGGGGGTACCTCCAGCTGACTTGTGCACGGCACTCTACTAACCGGTCTCTAACGATATGCCAAATTTGAGCACAATCGGCCCAGCCGTTCTCGAGATCTGGAAGCGGCACCCTGCACGTGCGCACGTGCAAAATGGGTCCCAACTGGCTTTTGCACGGCACCCTACTAACCGGTCCCTAGCCATGTACCAAATTTGAGCGCAATCGGTCCAGCCGTTCTCGATGTCTGGAATCGACCCCTGCACGTGCGCACGTGCAGCAGTACCCCAACTCCGGCACATGGATATGCATTGCCTAGTGGGTGCCTACCTGCATGCCAACTTTCAGCGCAATCGGCCAAGTAGTTACCGAGATATTGCAACAATTACAAGAGTGACACCTCTTCGTTTTGCACGTGGCACGTGCATAAGGGGTCACCCACATGCACCGGGAATAGTCCAATACTTGGTAGAAGGAATGAAGCTACCCTACAAAAATTACCGCATGTAAATCGGTCAAGTGGTTGCTGAGATATAAGCGTCGCAGAATCGTGACCACGGCCGGCCGGCCGGCCGGCCGCTCATACTCAGAAATTTCCGTTATTCTACGTAAGACTCCGCTCGCTTCGCTCGCTCCGTAACAAACATTAATTGTTGAACGTGATGGGATGTTGTGCGGTATTCAATAACCAATAGGCATGTCATGCCTATTGGATTTCGTGTAGAAAAGATACGTTGTGCCTTCCAGTTGTCACACCCAACATTCTCTATCTGAAATGCATTCTGTATTATCGGGAATGTTTGAGCATACTCTTTTTCTTTTACCTTTCCAGTTAAAATTGTTCAACAGCGCACATAACGTATTTATTTTTATTCCACTCCTTTATTTAGAGGTGCCTACTGCCTTGACGACAGTGGATTTCTCGAGCTTTATCAGCTTTTCTGCCGTAGAAAGATGTTAAATTTCGCAGTAACACCGTTGGGTTTCTTTCTGCTTTATTTTCATTTTAAATCGCTGAGTATAAATCTTACGTGAAAAGCATTTAGTTTAAAGCAAAATTTACGTTTTCTTATGGCACAACATGCCTCCTCAGCCCGAAGCTCATCACGGCAGGACCGTCACAGGTGAGGGAAAATCTCGCGACGAAACTGGACAAACTTGGCTTAATTAAGTGTCAAAATCGTCCCTATTCATGGCTTGTTAACCACTAAGGTAGCATAGATCTAACTTCGATTAATTTACATGGCTAGAGTCGTTTTATTGGAACCGTGTTCATTTTCTCGTCAGTTGAGACCTCAGAACTGGCATGCCTATAGGCATCCCTCGTCTTGAGCATCATTCTCCATCGCTTGCCAGTACCTAATCTTTGTATTATTAAAACGTTGAAGCATTAAAATGTTCTGCCTGCTGTTTTGACGTACAACGATTTTAACTTAAATCATGTTGATGTCTTCATATCTGGCTTCACGTCCGTCGTCCAAAGCAGATGATCATTGAAGTTGTGTTTTTATTGCAGCTCGATTAGCATCCTTCATGGCGTTTTCGGCGATGCCGCCGCTCAAATTCTTAGCAAAAAGGGATACAAGTTGGGAAAAGTAATTGGTGAAGGCTCGTACTGCAAGGTGCGACTCTCAAGTAAAGTTTTGGACAGTGGAGAGCTCGTGAAAATTGCATGCAAGATTATCAATAGGAAAAAGGCTTCTCATGATTTCGTTACGAAATTTCTGCCGCGAGAGCTGGACATAATACGCCATATTGACCATCCCAATATAGTGAAGTTCTACGACATTATCGACATCAACGACTGTGTTTATATATTCATGGAATATTGTGACAGAGGTGATTTGTTGGAACATATTCGAAGTAAGGGAGCATTGAAGGAACCAAAGGGACGTCACTACTTTCGGTAAGCTTTGCATACACATGTACATTTTTAACTATCGAGCATCATAGCGCGTTTTGTCTTATTCATCGTATACTTTGGTGCGATGTTTCATCGAAGATATTCATTTCCGAGCCCGTCGTAATCACAAAATAATGTGCACTTGTAATACTGCTATAACTTGTTAGCTCTTTGTGTGTGATGACCATTTTAACAGGACTCCAAGCGAGAATACTGACCTCCCTTGATCGTTGCTGACCCAGTCAGCTGGTATCCGCTGTGAAATACCTTCACGCGTTGGATATAACTCATCGTGATTTGAAGTGCGAGAACGTATTGCTGGTTTCTGATCGTTCTCTGAAGCTCACGGACTTTGGATTTTGCCGTCGCTGCCGGGATGAAGCCGGAAAAAGAGTGCTGAGTAGAACGTTCTGCGGCAGTGCCGCATACGCCGCTCCAGAGATCCTTCAGGTCAGTTCCATTTCACCGTAAACACACATGCATCGTAAGTCCTGACGTGAGTCATTCCCGCGCCTTTGTGCGTCCGATCGTAACACCACGAGGCTGGAGGAAAGGAATCGTTTCATGTTTTCTAAATCGTGGTTACAGGTGGGTTACAGGTCGTCACGACCTGTAACCGGTGCAGGTCGTGACGCACATTGGCCCAAGCAAGTTACTGAGATAAACCGGTCTTTGGGTATTCCATATTATCATAGCTGTATCATGCCTCCGTCAAAGATTATTGCCCAAATTACCATTGTCATCATCACTTATTTGAGGTAGGTATTACCGTGTGCTGGTTCCAGGGCCAGCCGTATAACCCCAAGATGTACGACGTCTGGTCCTTGGGGTGCATCCTATACATCATGGTCACAGCTACAATGCCTTTCGACGATTCTAATATCAAGAAAATGTTACGATATCAACAAGAGCGGAGGCTTGGTTTTAACGGTAAAAACCAGGAGCCTCTTACTGCCGGAGTAAAACGACTTATCAGGTAGGTCAACATCGTAAATATACACAGGTTTCAGGCAGAAAACCATAACCGTTCATGATGAAAATATTCATTGTTGGCTATAACGTCGTGTGAGAGCCCCGGAAAAATACCGGGTGTTGGCAGACAAAAGTGATGTTGGCAGTGTCGGGTCCGTTGTTCACTGACGATATAAGATTAGGACGCTTAGCCGGACGCCAGGTTTGTCGATGAAAATACGCTTTCTGTATGTCAACATTTCAATATTACATGCATTTGCCTACTAAATCCGTCGGAGCAACACTGTGAATGTGTGTAGAGTCTGACTGAGGCGTGCGTCGGGTGTCTGTCTGCACAGACACATGCTGGAGCCGGACATCACCCGGCGGGCCACCATGGACCAGGTGGCGGCCGATGCCTGGATCTACGAGACCGACCTGCACGCCTTCTCCGGCTCTCAGCTGTCGTCACTGTCCAGCCTGCCCGCCAACGACTAGCAGAGGGCGCACAGGCTACCCGTCGGAAGACGATCGGCAGCGGCCTGTCCAGCGCGACTGTCCACCGTCCCTGCCATCCAGCGCGACTACCCACCAGCCCTGCTAGCATCCAGCGCGCCTAACCGTGCCAGAGCATCCAACATGACCACCAACGACGTAACGGGACAGCCAGTCAAGACCTTCAGCCAATAACCAGAAGAAGTCCATCAATCCATTCGGCAACTGACCAGCTACTACTTACTGCAGTTGTGTAACTTCCGATACCAAGCGATGACGCGTATGCATTCAAGCGCCTCACATCGGCAGCTAGATACAGTTTCAGTGCTAATTGCTACGGCAGTCCATCGTCTGAAGAGAAAACAGATGGAAACCGGGATACGAAATGCGAGATAAAGAAGCCGGCCTTTGTGTCCATTTGAGTCACTAGGATTAGGCAATAGACAAACGGAGACGTGATATTTTGGAAATCAGTGTAAAGTCAGGGCAGCTCGCTTAATTTGGTGAGCTGACACAATCAAGTCCGACTCTGACCGAAGTCCGCCCTCTGCGGTACAGTAACCTGCGCCCACGGAAAGCCTGCACAACGGTTTGGCTCATTAGGCGGCGGGGTAAATTTTCGCACATATTCGGTTTCTCACTGGGCAGTTAATTTCATTTTATTTAACATCTTCCAAATATACAAGCTTTTTGCGTCGAGTTGTTTGGAAGGGAAACAAACATAGCCTCTGATGGCCTGGTTAGCCGTGAGTTGGGGAAATTATCATCAGTTTGAGTTGGAACAGAAGATTTGACATCGATTCGTTACATCAAACTCATTAAAAAATGTATGTTACATCGCCCTCTGCGCCCGCCGTACGCGGGATCTTGACCACAGACAGGGGAACGGGCACTACACGAGGGCTGTGGTTTCCCTACATTCGAGATGGCTCGGAGTCGGAGCAATATTGGGAAACGGCCCAATGCGGGACGCGGGACCGTTCTGTGTGCTGCGGCGCAGTATGAGTTCAGGCGCTGATAGCCAGTGCCATCTAGCGGCAGGGTTATAAGCTGGTGCTCTGCGGTGCAGTATGCAACTTCAGGCGCTGATGACCAGTGTCATCTAGCGGCAGGATCATAAGTTGGTGTTCTGCGGCGCAGTATGACTCCAGGCGCCGATGATCAGTGCCATCTAGCGGCAGGGCTATAAGTTGGTGCTCTGCGGTGCAGTATGCATGACTTTAGGCGCTGATGACCAGTGTCATCTAGCGGCAAAATCATAAGCTGGTGTCCTGCGGCGCAGTATGACTCCAGGCGCTGATGACCAGTGTCATCTAGCGGCAGGGCTATGAACTGGTGTTCTGCGGTGCAGTATGACTTCAGGCGCTGATGCCAGTGCTATCTATATTATTGTTTATTCAATCACGGGCTTAGTTATAGTTCGTTTTTCTTAAGTTTGCCCCTCACTGTAAACGTCTCTTTGAACACAGCACGAGAATTGCTAGCTGAATTACTGAGAAAACTGGTTAGCGCACATTGTATTGTAGATATGAATAATATTTTCAAAAATAAGTTTTGAACACAGACGATTTAACGTTATGTTAAGCGCCGTGCAATTTATTTATTAGTTCAGACATAATTCCTGAGAAGTCGTCTTTCCCTGTGGGGCTGTAGGTATTGGCAAATACGATTTACGAGTCTGTGAAATTGTAAATAAATTTGATGAAATTGATCGTCTGTGAAATCTTGTCAAATCAGTGTGCGCCAACCAGTTTTCTCAGTAATTCAGCTAGCAATTCTCGTGCAATGTTCAAAAAGACGTTTACAGTGAGGGGCAAACTTAAGAAAAACGAACTATAATACCGTAATTGCGGTAAATCAACCATGAACAACCTTGACGTGTAGATACTGCTATTTATGACCCGATCGCGGCCCCTTCGTGTTGCTGGTGCCTGAGATCGGCGGCGCACCACATCAAAGGATGTCTTTGGTGTGGTCAACGCTGCGATGTTGTCTGCCTATATCTGCACTGTCATTAATTGCTACGCTCCCATGGCCCGTGGTCACTGGTCATGCATGACGGTTTCGAGGCGCGTAATACAAGATAAGTGGTGTGCGGGAGCGCAAACGTAGTCAACACCAGTTCCAAGAAGATATTATACCAAAGTGAATGAATAAATGAGTGCGCTAAACATTATTCCCCTTATACCAAAACCAATGCTATGCGATAGATTCGTATTCATACAATATTCATTCAGAACGCACTGGACACATACGATGAACTGCCGTTAGGCCTTAAAGCTGCAGGTAGCTTCTGACCTACTTGTTACTCACAACGTAAATTGTGAATGATCCGATAACAAAAAGCTGGCGCAGTCTGACGCCAGTAAATATGAGGATGATGAATGCTACGCGGTGCACTAATTCATGTATCACGCATCGGCCGGCCACGGCGCCACCGCTATGGACATGAGCGATGAAGGCTACCAGGGCAGATCGTCGTCATAATCGGCGGCGCAGAGCGCGTGCGTATAACGTACACACAGCCACCCGTGGTGGGACTGACCGTGCGAGCGTGGCCACGGCCGGGAGACGCCGGCCCCGGTCCGCCGGCCGCACGGCGCCCTCTGAACACAAGGTGGGACATCACAGCCGGTCCAAGGCCCGCCGGCGCCGCCGCCTCCTCAGAACTTCATCTTGTTCAGCTTCAGGATCTTGCCCAGACGCTGCTTGGCGGTCGCCATTCCCTTCTTCGGCTTGGGTCCTGCAAACGAGACATGGAATTCAAACATCCACCAGCGAAACATCCAAGCTGCAGTGAATTATCGCAACGATAAAAAGTCTGTGAATATTTGTAATTACCGTCCGCCGGGCCGCCGCTGCTGCAGCGAACAGCGCTGCGGCGCAGCCTACCCGGCGGCGCGGCGCGGCGAGGTCGCTGATTGGTGACCCGTGGATCACGTGACCGGCGGTCGATGTGGGGCCGGTGCCGCGGCGGCGGCGCACTCTCGCGGTAGATTCGGTCGGGACCGGAACGTTGTCCGTGTGGTGGGGCTCTCGGAGTCGGACTGCATTGCCGGCTCGTCAGCTCGCACCGCGGCAAACATGTTAGGCGCAATTTGTTGCACGCTGAGAATGGAACTACTGTTCTGTTTGAGGCCCACCAACTAAATTGCATCGAACAGCCAAAATCTAGAGGTGGGACTGCATTCCTACCTCTAACATGGACCTCTTTCAGCCATCGAAATTTACTTAACACCTTTTGCGGCAATTAATTGTACCCATGGCCTCACAGTGGATTAAAGGAGGTATTAACGGGTAGCGACTGCACTCACGTCGCAATCGAGTCATATCGTCATATCGAGTCGTTGCATTGCACAGTTTTGCTTGTCTGTTTGCTTGACATCGTGGCAATAAGACGTGAGGAGCCAATTAATCCACAGTCTTTTGGTTAGATTTGATTTGAGAACAAGACCAGAGCCGAGAGGGGATTCGAACAGTTGGGCTGAGTTCCTGACAAAGTCATTGGACGATGACTCGTCATCTTTTTATCCATTATCTCCCTTGCTAATGACACAATGAAGTAGCAGCATAGCTCTTACTTCTTATTCCCTAATCAAAGTTCCTGTACGTCCGTGGTGCCAGAAACGACAGCTGGACGTGGCGTCATCGACTCACGTTTGACAGAGTCGGGGCCACCTCCGAGCGAGAGGCCCGAACTGGAAGAGCCGGGCTGCGGGTCTCTCTTCTTTGGCTGCACCTTCTTCAGCGACTGAAAACAGCCAGTAGAACGTGAGGGTCGCGCAGTGCATTTCAACAGTATCGAATTACGCAGCTCGCACGGCGTGAGGCAAATGGTCGCGGCAGTGGCGACCCGCTTGTGGATCACTTAGCCACAAAACGCTACGAAAGAATCATAATGCATATAGATTACCACCAACTTCATGTGACAGCCGAATAATACAATATTTACCACTCTGACAACATTCCCAAGTCACTACCGCTCAGTACTGTGACTGCTGTCACCCCTCCCTCTCCTAGAGTCCCCCCCCCCCCCCACTGACCGCGAGCGTCCGGTGGCCGGCAGACTGGGGCGTCAGCGGCGGTCGGCGCGCCGCGTTGGGTCGCGCCGGTCGCCAGCTGCGCCCCGCGTTCACCGACACGCGCGCCTTGGGGTTCCAGGCCTCGTCGCCGCGGCGCCGGCCGCGCGGCTTGAACACGTGCTCGTCATCTGAGTCGTCGATCGCCGGGTACACTGCGGGACCGGGCGGCGCGTCAGCTGGTGGTCCGTGCAGGACGCATCACGTGGTGAGCGGGTGGATAATCATGGACACAGGTTTGCTCCATTAGTCAACAAACCACTGGGGACAGGGTACGGGTATAACTATACTAATTATACGAACACAGGCTACCGTACAGTACGTTGATTCTGATTCGACTCGAGCAGGACCATCAGTTAGCATCGTTTTCGGTAAGCAACAGCTGTGCATTCGCCCGGCCCGGACAGTGTCGTCAGACGCCACTCACCATACTCGTCGTCCTGCGTGGCGGCAAACGTCTCCTCATCTGATGAGTAGGAGTGCGGCCGGCTGCGTTTAGCCGCCGGCGCCGGCGCCGGCTCCGGCTCCACCACGGCGCGGCTCATGGTCAGCATGCCAACGATGGCGTCCCGGGTGGCCGGCGACGCCTGGCCGGCCGGCAGCGTGCCGTCCGAGCCGCCGCCGCCGCCTCCTCCACCGTCAGCCACGCTGGAGGCGCGCAGCAGCTCCTCGATGCCGTTGGAGGCCGGCGGAGGCGCCGGGTCCGCCCGGCCGTCGACTGGGGAAGGAGGGCTAGTTAGGTGGACACTGGGTGGAGAGACTGGTAACTCTCCTGATGGTACAGCGGCCATCAGTCGTGCATCAGCCACAAAATTGGTGAAATAAGATCTATGATTTACCATAACTTACACCGCTCTCAACTGAAACAGCCCGCAAAAAGCTCGTTACCAAAACCCATGTGACTGCATTGCCGACCGGCGCCCCGCACTCACTGGAGAGGCGCAGTTTGAGCGGGTTGTCCATGGACACGGAGCGGATGCGGCCGTAGCGCCGGGACGCCGGCGCCGAGTCGTCGATGGTCAGCGGCGCCTCCTCGTCATCATCGTCCAGCCCGGGCGGCGGCTGCACGCGCGGCCCCAGCCGGATCTTGAGACCGCCGCCGGCGGCCGGCGGGGCGCGGTGGGCGCCGCTGGCCGGGCCGGGCGCCGGGCTGGGAACGGGCCGCGGCACCGTCAGCCGGCGCGCCGGCTCGGTGCGACGCTCGGCCGCCGCCGACTGCTGCAGCAGTGACTCGAACTCGGAGCGCTCCGAGATATCCACAAAGTCGGCGCCCAGCGGTCGCTTCTTCACCTGGCGGCGCGATTGGCGCTCGGGCCGCGCAGGAGCCACCGCCGGCGCATGTGCGCTGTACTTCTCCGCGTGGCGCACCTCCTTGTTGATCATCTTGATCAGCTTGCTGGGGTTGATGAAGGCAGGTATGGGCTCCACACCTCGCCGGGCCGACTGCGAACGTGAGCAAGAAAACGCCAAAGATAAGCCGAACAACAACACTTCACCGAATTATAAAACAAGGGTACGGCGATAATTTGTAAACTTCGTAGCAACAACTATGCGATATTCCTAATTTTGCTGGCCAATAACTATGCAGTATTCGATAAACTAACTAGTGACTGAATCTGGGAGATGTGGCGGTGGCCCGCTCGGCCGACTCACCGAGGCGTCGTGTGCCCAGGCGCGCAGCTGGGCGGCCAGGCTGCGGCCGGCCTGCACCAGGTAGGTGGGACACCGCTGGTTGGCGTCGCTGTAGTCGCGCATCTCCTCCACCAGGCGGCGGGCGCCCAGCCAGTGGCACGTCTCGAACGACGGGAACCGGAACTTGAGCGGCGTGCGACTCTTCTTCTCCAGCTCGTACACTCTGCGGACAGGGTGATGAGGAACACACTCAGACGGGATAGTAAGACACCGAGAAAGGATAGTGAGACAGTCAGGCAGGACGGTAAGCTAGACTCGGTGTCCACTGTGAATTGTTTTTGAATTCCTGATGGGAAAATAGCAGGTTTGCATGCTAATCGGTGAAAGCTACATATTAATTTTGAGATACGCCTTGGCATCGACGACACAATTTAGAACATGACGATCCACGCCACTCACTTGAGCTGAATGGGCACGTTGAGGCTGCAGAGGAAGTTGCCGCCGAAGACCAGCGAGTCGTGCGGTGTGTAGACGGCGTGTATCCAGCCAGAGGGGATGAGCAGCGTCTGGCCGGCGCGCACACACAGACGGCTGCAGGCGTCCACCTGAGTGGCACGGAGGGGACGGTTAGTGCGGACAGGGGAAGGGATAACGACCGTCATGACACACAGCATGTCAGGGACGGCAGGGCACGGGACAACGACCTACACGTTACAGCCGGGTGCAGGCACTTACGAACTCACACATGACGCCCCTAGCTGCAACTGATAGTACTCCACAATCTTCATACCTATTACCTTTTCTTCGGCAAACGTAAAGGCACAATGCATGAGTGAAGAGGTGGCACAAATGGTGGCCACTGTTCAAACGTTTCCAAATGCACCATTTTCTCGCTCACCTGCGCGTCTGACCGATCCCACACTCCGGAGAAGAGGGGTGCTGGCCGACCCACCTGGTCTCCAAAAAATGTGGAGCTGCGTGTCGGCGAGTTGAGCCAGCGCTGGTACAGTGTTAGGTTAGACGCCGTCGGCCGGATCAGGTAGAATATCTTCTCTCCCTGCCAACGTACGGAGTCATGGCGGTGTATCAGGCAGCAGGAGATCCGTGTGGGTGGGGGGGGGGGGGGGGGGGGCGATACGCGGTTAGGAGAGTATAGCACGGACTGTTCATGAGACTAAACATCTTGACAGCAGGCAGCTAGCATGTAACCCTACGTGTAGTCAGAGAACCATCCACAGTCGTGTGGCAATGACCGACATTCGACTGAACCAGTTGTCATTCAGCAAGGTAGGATCGGGCTAGTATTCTCTTGAGTCGCATCGGATCTTCAGGGGCTTGTATCCATAGCACGTGGCACCGTTCGGCTGCAACACACAATAACACGTGGCACCGCTCGTACCGTCGTACCTGGAGCACGTGATACCAGACGGACGTGCCGCCAAAGTCCACGTGGAAGTCGGTGTACGAGTCGACGGCGCTAATGAGCGCGTACTTGGTGACGGTGGGCTTCTCGACGCCCTCGGGCGGCGGAGTCGGCCACAGGGAGGTCACCCAGCACAGCTTCCGCACGATGTACGGCGCCTCCACCAGCGCAGAGAGCCTGTCAGAGGGTGAGGTCAGCTCGGGTCATATCTCAGGAAATGAGCCAGTCATTTCACATAGGCATGCTAGTTGGTAGCGCATAATTACTACATAAAGAAGCGTGCGAACATAAGGCAACATCCAAAGTAAAAAAACACACTCGATTTCCTACAATCTGTCCGGACTCCGGAAGCCCGACTACCCCTGTGCCCATTTGGTTCCGCGACTGACCCGGTGCCGCTGAACTCAAGGCTGATGCAGTTGAGCGTCTCGGAGCGCTGGCCGCTGCTGAAATAGTCGGCCAGCTCGTGCATCGTCAGACGGATGTCCCGCTGGCGGCCCACGTCGATCACGTCCACCTCACGCTCAGAGCCTGGAGAAGCCACAGTTGGTTATAGAACGCCCACCTCACGCTGAGCCTGGAGAAGCCACAGTTGGTTATAGAACGTCCCCGACACGCTCAGAGCCTATCGAAGCCACAGTTGGTTATAGAACGTCCCCGACACGCTCAGAGCCTATCGAAGCCACAGTTGGTTATAGAACGTCCCCGACACGCTCAGAGCCTATCGAAGCCACAGTTGGTTATAGAACGTCCCCGACACGCTCAGAGCCTATCGAAGCCACAGTCGGTTATAGAACGTCCCCGACACGCTCAGAGCCTATCGAAGCCACAGTCGGTTACTGAACGTCCAGCCCGTGATCATAGCCTGTAATAGCCTCGGCTGGTTACTGAACGACGCAAACGTATTTAATATCCTCTGACAAGAAGACAAACTACATAATGCAAGTAATTACCACCCTCCCGATTTCGCTGTGCGGACAGTCCGCCAACATACCGACGTAGTTTTCGATGTCATGCACGGTGAAGCCGGCGGCCGGCGGGAGCTGCATGCCGAGCCCCTCGACCGAGTCGAGTTGAATCGGCCGCTCCCAGCCGTGCTGCGCCAGGTAGGGCAGCGTCAGCTGCTGACCGCGCAGCCGCACCACCACATCGTCCGCGCTGCCCGCACAATACACATGAACACTGGATCAGCACACAGGGTCAGCATCAGAAACACACAGCATTAGTATCGACAACATCGGTTAGTATCGGCAGCTACAGCTTACAGCTGCCTAGTGCCTACACAGACACAACGCATGGCAAAGTGTCAGTGGTAGTGATAACGACACATTTCACAGGTTTCTAACCCTTCAAAGTGGCGGGACCGCAGCTCCTTGATGAAGATGGGAGTGCCCGTCTGCACTGGCCTGGACTCGGCGTTCGCTTCGTACGGATCAAGCCGATGCCAGTTGGTCCTCTGCTTGTCTGCCGGAGGTAGAATGGGGGCGTATCAAAATTCCGCTTGCTTTCAGTGCTTCACATGCTTATATTGTGGCCACTTTACTGTGGTCATATGTCACTAGAAATAGTAACAGGACTACGAAAAAGGAAGCAAGGAAGAGCCATCACAATATCGAGAAGAAAGGTGAGCCAGACACCCTCAGTGGAACACTCTCGAGCAACCATCCAAAAGGAATCGCCTAGCAATAAAATCTCGCGCCTATTTAGAAAATGGAAAAATGTTACAAATGCGGCGACGTTCAGGCGAATGTCCATTTTCTTCCAAATTTCAGAGTCGTGAACAAGCTCTATCTTTATCAATCCGGATTTAAAATTAACAGTTACTCTTCCTACATGCTGCGTTCAATATTTCTATCGGCAAATTTGAAAATACCACTTGATTAGACAAGCAAAAGGCTGGAAATGTTCGGGACTATGTAGGTAAGGCACTAAACAATGTAGGTATACCTGCAAATTCAACGCGTAGGACGCATCATTACTTCGAAACATTTTAAGCATCGCGCTATATTCTCTCCCGCCGACTGACCACTAAATGTCTGCATCGCACGATGGCTGACAATGAGCTGTCCCAGGCGCTCGGCCACCGGGAACGGGCCATCGCCGGCACCAGTCAGGCACACATGCGGCGCCGCACCGACCCCAACGTGCGCTACGCCCACCCGTACCCAGAGCTGGAGAAGGAGTACACGAGGGAGCAGTGCGCCGCACTCGAGGAGCTGTTCGCCGAGGCCGACTTCGACAGCGACGGCTTCATCACCCTCGACAAGCTGAAGAAGTTCTGCGAGAAGAAGATGGGCCGGCCGATCACCCATCTGGACGCCAAGAAGATCATCGCGCTCGGAGACGACGACAAGGACAAGAAGCTCAACCTGGACGAGTTTATGCGTCTGTGGATGAAGGTGGCGGCCGGCCAGGCGCCGCCCGCCTGCGGCATGGAGGCCGTCATGGACGACAACGGCATCCGGCCCGACATCTCGAAAAACCCCAACTTCACCGACAACTCCAACAAGGCCGGCAGCATGAAGAACCGCTTCGAGCAGATGGCCATCGCCGACCAGCAGAAGGACGCCCACGACGAGGACATCCGCACCGAGCACCAGAAGCTGCGTCAGCGGCAGCGCGAGGAGGCCGCCGAAAAGAAGAAGCTGGAGGAGCGCCGACAGGCCATGAAGAACCGCGGCGCTCTGTTCGAGCAGCAGTGAGCGCTCCAATGCAAATTCAGCGGACAAGAATACAACTATTTATTTCATGAGTTGAGAGATCGATTAAGTTATCTATGTAAACCAAACCTAGAGGATGGAAATCATGAGCTTATAAATACCAACATACCCAATAATCCAGCACACCCAAGTGATGCAATGATGAGATGTGCAGAAAAAGGAATAAATCAAGTCAGTTCAGAATAACAAACAAACTTACATATTGACGGGCCGCACATCAGCTCACATCTTGGACAGTGATACTTGTCAATGTCAACACTCTGGTGCTCACGAAGGCCAACACATCTGCGAAATAAGAGTGGAGATAACAATGGAAAGCATTTGCATCACTCAAATATGCTGATTAATAAATGGAAGAGCTACTTAAGGGCACAGTAGAGAGAACACTTAGTGTCAGTGAGGATTGTGCAATTTAGTTTCTGTAGGTTTAGCTAGTTATTTTGCAAATTTAATGCATGCTAGAAGCATGAAAACCAAAGAGCCTGACTGCATGACTGTTATGAAATGCTGAAAGCTGAAGCAGGTGTTATTTACCCTAGGGGCTATTAACATAATTTTATAAGAATTCAATTCATTAAGTAGTTATACATTTCTATAAAGGAAAATTTATAGAAAAAACATCACTAAATAGTAAATACTATGCCAAGCAGCACAAGTGATCAAAACATACAGTGTGCTGGAATACAAGATAGGTAACACCTATAAGCGAATACACATTATAGAAAGCTAGTTTAAAGTTAATATATTATTACAAGATAATTGGCTACTTACAGTCCATGGAGCCAGTCCTTGCAAATATCACACTGAATCATAAACTTTGTGTTGTCATATGGCTGACCACAGGTGCAGAGTGATTCACTGGAGGCCATTTTTCTGAATTCTGAAAACAAGCATAACACAGTATAATAGTTTGGGGAATGGGCAATGGGCATTGGGAATATAAATGACATGACAGGTCAACATGAAACTATAGTCAGCAAAAGTAAATATATCATTCCAATGAAATGAGTCAAGAGAGTATAGGCAAAAGGCATAGGATGGTAGGATCAGATTCCACAAGCTTTTAATGTTACTAATCCAGAAAGCCTCTGCCAAGGTACCTCCCTAGGTGTCATCTTCCGATAAAGTACCTCTGTAGGAATGGATGTTGATTTCTGTCAAACGGTGCTGCAGCACCCAGCCTGTACCACTTCAACTTCTTCACAGGTCCGGACTTTGGAGTTGCAACCAATCGCACAGGTTAAGGTCAATTACTAATCAGGTCAATTGGCAGTATAAGTGCTTGGGCACCCCCAACTTTGCAGATATTGACACCCATGTCTGTAGGAGTCATTTTGCAAATGTTTTGATGTGCCATTTGCAGCAGATCTGGATTATCGGTGGGAACTAGACCAAAAAAATTGATGACTGGAAGATGACACACAGGAAGGTGCTTACTGCTTGCCTTGTTGCCTGTTGAAAGATTACAGAAAGAGTAACATAATATTTTTATAGGAATTGTGCAATCCTATGCTGATGCCTATGGGCTATACCCAGGCCTGTACAGTGTACAAACACTCACTTCCTTGGAAAAATACATTTTCATTTGCTGATCTAACTACAGACTACAGAGGGCTGGTCATATCCAATGCAGCAGCATAGATTTGTGCTGTGTGCATCTTAATCAGGTGACATCAGCCACCTGGCTCTGCCCACTCCATCGGCAGGCAGGGGCCGAGGGCTGCTGCACTGCTGCAGCCCACTCCATGCGCTGCAATACCTACTGTGGTACAAGTGGACTGGTGGTTGTCATTCAAATAATAATTAAAATGTGTTCAAATGTGGTAGATAGTAGTGTGCCACTGAAGAGTGATAATGACAGGTACTAACAAAACATACAAACCGCGGGAGCGATACAATAAGAAATACAGGAGTCAACTTTGATTTCTGCCGCTTTCAGCTACTGCACCAAATTTTGTGCTGTAGGAGATAAAAGTATGCTTCAGTAGGAGACATCACACATGTGATGGCGATTGGCTATACAGTGTGGGTAGTAGGTACTACAAGTGATTAGCCCTCCCTGCGCATGCGTCAGCGTGCTGCACTCTGCAGTATCAGCATTTCATTTTTGCCGTGAAGCCCTCTGACTTGTTGAGGATAAAAGACCAGGTAACAAGTAAGAGGCTATTAAGTTTGAGGGGGAAAATAATTCAAAGGGAACATAATTTCAAATTGAGATGGAAGTTGGGTTGGAACCCCAATACCATCCTCGGACAGCAACACGTTTCTCATTTCTGGGAACGGAACAAATAATTCCCAGTACACCCTCACAAAACAAGCAATTCAATATGATGCGCACACTATTCAATAATGCCCGAAAGGTGAATAAACCCAAAAAATAAACGGCAAAACAAACCCAACGCGTTCAACAACACACAAACACACACAAAACCACGGAGCACAAAACTCAAAACAACACTATCGCAAGCGGCCCCCGCCGAAGTTAGTTGGTAGCACTGCTGCTCCACGGCGTACATTTCCTACCAGCCCATAGGGTTTACATGTTAAATGGCCTGTTTTCGGTGAGCGATATCTCGGTCAACCTTTGAAGGAATCAATGGTTCTTAGTCTCAAATGATAGATCGATGAATTTTCTTTCGACAATTCCTCTACCATTTTTCACGAAACCCAGCCGATCTTCTACGGCGTACAGGGTAAAGATTTCTCTGCACGCCAGCACCCGCGATCCTCCTCTCCGATCGTCGGCGCGCGGTCCTCGGTAGCGCAGTCGGTAGCGTATCGGGCTACGGATCCGAGGGTCGTGAGTTCGAATCCTGAGAGCGCCGTGTGATTTCGGCTAGTATTGAATGATGTAGAATCTTGAATGTTTGCGTAATCAATTATCAATAGCTAATTGAATGTATCTGCGCACTTATCGGCCCCTGAAGCATGTTATTTAAGAAATTTAAGAAATGAATGTCACGTGCGCGTCACGACTGCCAACCATAAGCGCTACCATATTCTAGTTTGAACTAACTTTTTGCTAGTCCCGACCACATATAGTAGGTTTTCTAGTAGTTATACTAGAAATTCCTACCAAAGTTCGTCCTACCCTTCACTCAATATACCCTGATCGCAAGTGCAAGGTTTAGAAATAAATACAAAATAAAACTTTTGACTGAAAATAGTTTAATGACGTTATTTTCAAGTGAATTTTGTGTTTTAAATGTTTCGGTACAGTTTGCATTTATTTGAATGGTTTTAATATTTAATAAAATTCGATTTTTTGTTAAAATGCAAGCATTTACAACAACGTAAAAAATCAAAACGACTTTGCCATTTCTTACGTCAATACGAGCAGCACCAAACGAGCAGGCAAACACCCAACCTTGCACCAAACTTGCACCCAACACCAACAACACGAAGGCTGCCCACCACAGCACCCAAGGCTATACAGCACCTCTCAACACGTGCTCAAAACCTGATCAAAACACTCATGCACGGTGTAAAGTGTGTTATCGAGGGCAGTTAGGGGTTACACTACGTACTTAGAACCGTGATTCTGTTGAGGACGCGCCCTAACAACAACAACAATGACTCTGTAGAGGTGCTGCTATAACTTATATCTTGCCGTTATATCAGGGCATGCCTCGTATCAGGGCATATATAATATCAGTTATATGCTATATAGCATCGAGAGGCGCGCTGCTACATTGGTGCAAATCCACCTATTTTGATTTGAGAGTCATCACTTGTAATTACAAAGATTGGGTGAGTAAGTTTAAGCAACTCATAGTCTGTGACTAGGTAGGCACTGTAAGAAATGTCACGGTGATAGATGTGTCAACATTGACAAATGACATTGGTCATGGATGAAATCATTGGTATTGACATTTCAGGTCAAGGTTTGATTCAGATTTGGCTCCTGCTGGGAAAATTGGAATGGAAGGCACACCAACAAATGTTATCAAGCAGTTAAGCTTTATGGATGATTCCCATGTTGAGAAGCTGCTAATGAATCAGCAAGATGCTTTGTTGATTACTTATGGTGAGTTTGAACTATCTTGATCTTGATGCTACCTAATTAACGACTAGGTATGAACAGACTGCCAGCTGATTGTTTTGCTTTAGGTATTCATTTGCATTCATTCGTTCATTCATTCATTCATTGATTTATTTTCAAATCATCTACTATCTTTGACACCTTCAATCAGCTTGATCCTAATTCATTCAGCCATTTATAAGCTCTGGATTCATCTTTTTACTTATACATTCATGCATCAACTCATTCATTTGTTAATTCATACAGCTCCTAAAATAAGACCTGGAGGGGCCCTGAGCAGTGAGCAATGCCCATTGCCCTTTCAGAAATTGTTTTATTTATTTATACTTGATGGGCACTAGGTGATTGCTGCATAGGCACACTGTTGTAACTTGTAGCCCTGCCAGGCCAGGACAGCAATGTCCTGTTGCAGAACAATGTCTTTTGCATTTCCAAAAGACATTGCAAAAGACATTGCATTTGCAATGTCTCTATTTGATTAGTTCCATTTGCATTGCCAACTCACACATGCCAAGTGACAAGTAAATACACTGATCTCCACTGATAATATCATCAATGATTGTTCATGAGGACATAATGAGGACATCACACACATGAGGACACCCCCTTGTGTCTCAGGAAATGACTGGTGAAATGAATTATTGCTTAGTTATATTCACAAGTAGTTCTTTCTGTTTATCCAGATTGGACTATTTACTGTATCTAGGTCCTCTGACTAATTGGGCTTGGTTAAGAAGGTCTTGTGGTCTTCAAAAATGAGTCATTGTGGTTTTGTGGCACTGCCACTTACCAGGTTAAATTCTGACCTGAGGACTCACGGGGTATCAATGGCAAGTTGTACCCTATGCCTGTGCCAGGAAGTCTTCTGGACTCCCTAGGTATCTCACAGTACTGGTTGGAATCTGATATCTCTCCGGTTACTGGCTGGGGAGTGGGGAGTGGGGACCCAACTTGGGGTGGAAAGTTACCATAATGGTAGGGCCGTCGGTCCTCAGCGATACGAGACCCGTATGGCGGAGGTTGCGCCATCTACCAGTTTCTCACAGTTCCGCTAGGTGGCGCTCTCAGCAGGCCCGTCCTGGGGCCGCATTCACGCCAACATCGTACCATCAGCTTGCATCGCACGAGGCACGAGCGATTTGGTATTCACGTTGACCGTCTTAAATTTAACGTACGATTGGTCTGGCTATTTAGGATATTTCGAATTCACGTCGGCAATCTTCGGACAAGAAAGTGAAATTGAGTACAAGTCGGTACCTATTCATATAGCTCGTGCACAAATTGCCAGGGATCAGTAGGTACTCGCGCCACGGAAACCTACGATGGGACCGCGGAAACTATATCATCCCCGATGAGTTTATCGGGTTTGACTAACGAAGTCCCTGAATTATGAGATGGCTGGGTGTCTCGTGATGTCGGTTCGTGTGACAGTTCGTCGTGGTTGTTTCAGATGGCAGATCGCTGCTGCACCACGCCATCCTGTCCGGCAACCTGGCCGTTGTGGGTGCCATTCTTCAGCGAGGTGGATTCTCCGATGAGCCGGACTCAGAAGGCAAGTAGCTGATGGACCAGATTCACAGCGGCTGCTAGCGTCGGGACCGTTGTGTTTGTGCAGTTCCCTTTGGCTGATCTCACGAGAATCGAGTAAATCAGCCGGTAAACTCAGAAGTAAATCCGTTACAAATCATGCGCAATAACTCCTGATCTGGGGCTGCTCTCAGTGTGCATTAGTGTCCGCCGCCATCGGTCTGAGTTTCCGCCGCTGTCAGTGTCAGCTTCCAGCGTGCTGTCGATGTCAGTTTCGGCCTCTGTCTGCCAGTATCCACCTCCCTGGCTCTGGCTTATTCCCGCCGCTCTCGGTGACCGCCGTGGCCCCCAGGTGACACCGTGTAGCCCTGTGACCTCAGGTCAGACGCCACTGCTGGCGGCGTGTCAGCGCGGTCAGCTGTGGCCGGTACACCAGCTGCTGGCGGCCGGCGCCGACGGCAGTGTCAGGGACGCCAGCGGAGCCGGCTGCGCGCACGCCGCCGCCGCCGCTGGCCAGCTGTGAGTGGCTCTTCAATTACCGACGCCTTTCTGCTGGTCACTGACATTGCCGCGTCACCGGCAGCTGCCGTGCGAACAGATCGATAGATACTGTTGAGTTTGCCTGCGTGGTTTATGTCGTGATGTCCATTATGTGAACCATTTTCTGAGATATTGATGCTACGTGTTGCGCTGTCTTTAGTACGGTGGTCCAGTACGTACCTGCACGAGGTTCTCGAGTGATTTCTGCGGGCTGACCGATGTGTGCCCACCCTCTCCCCTCAGTACCCGGTGCTCCTCCAGTACCTGCGCGAAGTGTTCGGGTGCTCTCTGTCGGACTGACCGCTGTGTGCCCACTCCCTCCCTCAGCACGGTGCTCCAGTACCTGGGCGAAGTAGTTGGGTTCTCCCTGTCGGACCCCGATGACGACGGCAGGACGCCACTGATGGTGGCTGCGGCCGGAGGACACGCGGCTGCCGTCAAATATCTGATCGAACAGGCCAGGTGGGTGCATGGATAAGTATGTAGGTATTACCGTACTCGCACCCCTTCGCTATGGGCGTCTGAGTTAGACGCATGATTTTCATATCCCGCATTTCGAGCGTGTTGGAACCGCGTTGTGTCTTTGACATAGCCCTTCCCCCCGTGTAGCAGGCCATGTTTCTGACCAGACCCCGTTTCAGAGGTCGTGTGCAGTGCAGCGCTGTCCCATGTTTCCGACCTACCTGCCTCGGCCCTGTGTCGCAGGCCGTCACTGCTGTCCGCGGACGCCGGCGGCCGGACGGCCCTGCACCTGGCTGCCGCTGCCGGCCATCAGCACGTCTGCTGGCTGCTGGTGACCAGCGGCTCGGCCGAGCTGCTGACCGCTGCGGACGCCGAGGGGCGCGCGCCGCACCAGCTGCCGTCCGTCTCCAGGTACGGCCGGCCGGCTGACCGTCGGCCGGCAACGAACACTCGTCAGATCTTACCGAGGTTGTGGCGGCACACTGATGCCTTCCAATGGAAAGACTTCAGGGAATACCGTAGCTGTAGGATCGGGACGGGTGAGATCATTCAGTTGTATACGAACAATGATGCTCAACTTCCGCGGAAGGCCCGACTCCTGTATGATGCGAAACGTGGCTGTTCTCATTACAAATCTTGGGTGGCACCAGTGGCCTGTTTGGTGTGATTGCCACTTCAACCCGCTAAGGTAGCCTTAACCCTCGCCCGCACATGCCATTTTCCCATCCTAGAACGCACATGGGGGGGGGGGGGGGTTGCCACCCCCGCGCCATTTCGTTCCTGTTGGAGATAGAGCTTAGCAGTAAAGACCAAAAAGATTCTTTGGGAAGAGACGAATCCAATGATACCCAGTTTTACCTTCTCAGGTCAGTCATTGACCTTCCAGGTCAGGTCAAACTAAAAAATGTTGCTGTTTTGGGTCACCGTTGGATATCAAGTGCGCTGCTTATCAAATACCGATGACGATGCTGTTTTCTGGTGCCAAGCCAGCTAGAACCTCTTTGTCACACTATCCGACCAGAATTTTGCTGCTGAGGTCATTTCAGGTCAAGTTAGGTCAAGGTCAATTATATGTGTTTGTATGTCTGTGTGTGTCTGTGTGTATACTGATGTGTGCACCGATTGTTTTTGGGTCCATATCACATGAAATCATGATCTGAGAAGCTTTTACCAAAAATGCAGTCAAAAAAACTTCACAAAAAGTAAATTCAGCTTGCCTAAAACGCAATTATCTTAGATGACCTAGGTTGACCTTGACCCTGACCTTGACCCCTGTACATCGTCGAACAACATGTTCCATGATAGGTGGGAGGTAAGACTGGCAAAAAAGGCCGAAATCAGGGTGTCAAAAGCTCACAAGGCCCATGGCAAACGCAAGATGTTGAGAATTGGCCATTTGGGTCATGACATGACCTGAAAAACAAGGTCATATCTCCGAAACCAAAAATCACAGAAACTTGAAATTTTCAGTGGACATCAAGAAAGGATAGACGAGCAGCTATACGAAAAATCAGCCTTCTAGCTCTAAAAATGTTGAGTGCAGAGCAGAAAGACTGCCTGGGGGGGGGGGGGGTGGCAACCCCCCCCCCCATGTGCGGGCGAGGGTTAATACCGCGCGCCACTTGCCGCCGAGTCCCCCTCACTTTGTATTATCCGTTACGTTTACGTGCTGTATGCTTACTCACTATTTTCACGCAGTAGAGCCATGACTTCTCTCGTATTTCACAGTGCTGCACTGTTTTTCCGTTCTCAGATCGCCATGTGGTCGGATGCTCTCCGACCTGTACCGGCGTCAGGCGGCCGGCCGCGGCCCGCCGTCCGTGCGGCCAGCGCAGCTCTGGAGCCTGCTGAGGCCGGCAGTCACCTACGCGGCGGCGCTGGCGGCCTGCTCGCTGGGGCCGGACGACTGGGCGCCTCTGCTGAACCCGGCACTGATGCTGACTGCCCTGATCACCCTGCGCGGCCAGGGTCACCGGCTCAGCCACCCCAGCCGGTCAGTGGATAGGGTGCTCTCCCATCGGGGGCTGGGAACAGAGACAGTGGTCAGAGGCGCACTCCGCACCTACACCACCCTCAGCCGAACAGAGGACTCGCAATGAATCGAGCTGCCCACCTGCCGCACCGAAGCCGCACAGATGGTCTGAGAGAAGGAGGGGACAAGGGCCAGATAGATATAAATCAATAGAGTAGACCGCAGATAGGGAGATGCATGATAGATCCTAGATAGAGGTAGGAGACATGGCTACTGCGGGAACGGGCAGGATAAACACTGAACGCTGGAACATGTGCGAAGACACGATTGTCTGATGGATGGATGGATGATTAACACACCAATCTCTATGGGATATGAGGGAGATGCAAGCCGTCGAAGGAGATCACTGGCTAGAAGCACGGGAGCCGCCAGAGGTCTGTCACCATTGCCCCCGTACTGATCGCCGTGTGCTGTTTGCCCCGCAGCGCTCCCAGCTGGTTCGCCTTGGGCTTGGTGCTGACACTTCTGGGCGCATCGGTCGCCTGCGTTCTGCTCTACATGCAAACTCGTATCCTTTAGTTGAAGCCTGTCGCTTTGGTATGCGGTCGTATGCGTGTTCGGACGGTTTTTGAGGCTACACAGGACACCAAAGGTAAGCGGATATTATATTTAAATGGTTTTATTTTATCCTGAACGCACTGCATATACTGAGAGGAAATTATTTCGCATACTTCCTTTTAAGTGATGTCCTAGCCGACAAAGGACATAATAACTTTTTTCCTCTCGGGTAAAAGCTCATGATTTTAGAAGGACAAAGGAGCTTACATAAGAACCGGTGCGTGAAGTTCTTTACCGTCAAGCTTCAAGCAGCATGTCTCTATCCCCGTCTCAGAGACGCGCGAGTAGGCCTAGTGGCGTGTCTCACGCTGGCAGCACGTGCCTCTCGAAAATCTTCTGAAATCACCCGCGCCACCATTCAGGGAGGTCTGAAATCACCGGCGCCATTCCTGGAGACGGCCGTGAGGAGGGCCGGGCTCCTGGCGACCGGAGAATGAGAGGCATGCGCTCGGCTCGGCGGCGCTACAGATTTGGCGGGCGACCAGTGCTTGTGGCCGCCGGGAGGAGTTGGCTGGCGCCAGGAGTCTGACCCAGCTCTGACCGTATTTGGCCATCGGCGGCCCGCCGTGGCGACGGATTGACGGCTGCTGAACATCGCCATTAAACTGATGAACCGACCGCAACTTCATGCGTCGCTGAAACAGCGATGTCGGGACCCGAAAAGCTGTGGTGTGACGTGCTGCGATGTAGCTGATGTGAAACTGTTTACAGATATTATGTAGCGGAGTTTTTGCGGTGTCGGCAATCGGGGTCGATCGGAATGTGGTAGCCGCTGCGGTCACGATAGGCCGCGGAGTGACCTCACCGGCCTGCCGGCCGACACGGGCGCGCGCTCGACGGGCTCGGCACTGACAGGGACTCGGGCGCGGCCGGCTCGGCGCCTGACACGAGCGGATAGCCGACCCAGGTGTGCCCCACGGGCTCTGGTGACACTTACACTAACTCCCGCGTCACTGGCCCTGTCGGAGACACTGACCGCACTGACCCCGCCTTCCTTGACACTGGCTTTACCAAGGGCTTTACCAAGGCTGACCAAGGCCCTAAAAGATACTGTCCGTGGCACGGGCTCTGCCGTCCGTAGCACGTGCTCTGTAGACTATGGCACTGCTCTGCTGATTCCACTGGCTGTATAATCTGTAGCACTGCTCTGCTATTGATCCCACTGGCTCTGCCATCTGTAGCACTGGCTCCGCCTCCTGTGGCACTAGCTGTCTTCTGTGCCTTCTCGAAATACCAAACGACAGGAGAGACTGAACGGGCTGTCAATTTTGTCTCGTAGACAGATCGGGTCCACCAAAGGCGTGGCGGAAAATCCAGCCTATAGCGGTCAAGACTGACTATCCACGAATGCCCGCTATGCATAGTGGATGAAAATAGCAAATGCCATTAGGGTTTGCCGAGCTGTGGTCAGTCAGGCATCTCGTGCTATGGGGAAAGTGTGCGGCGGCTGCCATTGTTGGGACCGGCGACCGACTGTCGTGTTGCGTCACTCCGTGGTCAGTTACATGGGTTGGACGTCGCTCACAGCTCCACTCGGGCCTGCTGCCGGCAGACAGTGACCTCATACTTAAGTCGACTTCGGTCGGCTCACCGGCCGTTTACAGATAACCGGAAGTGTGGACGGGCTATTCCGATAGGAGTCCATGCCTGCCGATATTACTGGATAAAAATGTGACAGACGGACAGTCCGTCTCTCCAACTGATTTGTTTCACTGTCAGTCATTGACGGGGTCTGTCCGAGGTGTGGTTATGAATGAGGACACACTTCCCGGAATGGTGCCGTAATCATATGTAGGACACCCGTTCAATGGATGTCCGCTAGGCTAACCTTTCTGTGAACGAGATAAGATCGAAAATGAGATCATGTTTGAACCAGAAACCGGCTTCGAAGAAGTTTCACAATTAATCTTTTCGATACAGTAAAACATGTTTGTATCGAACAAGATAGGTACAGAGACCTTACAAGCCTCTATGCTACCTGTTTTTGTGCACTGGGGACTTTTTCTACATGTGCTACCAGCGTTCATTCCGCTGAATTGCAAGGGCAGTATCGGATCTATGTCTTACAAAATACGTTTTGCTGTCCTTCGGCAGTGCCCAGAATGAGATCGGAAATGCATCGCAGACTATCGTTTCTCGCAGCATAGCAGCATACCGATTTGCTCATCACTGCCAGTTTTATATTACGTAGAAATATCATTCATTAATGTGTAGGAAGGAACATCGAGCTCCCGGCCTCATGTTTTTATCATGTGCCGTGCCGTGCGAATGTCACGTTGGTGATCGGGCATGACAGTTGGCTAAGGAGACAGGTACAGGAATTTTGTCGGCGGCAAACATGCTTGCGCCCATTCGAACCAGTCATTGCATCAGGCAATTAGTTGATAGGCGACGTCTTAAGGTATTCAGAGGAGGAGAAATGGGCATCCGCCGTGCAAAGCATCGCGCGCCGCCGATATAGATCAGCATTTGTTGGTAGCTTATTCAGCGCAATATTGCTTTCCGTTCCCTCTGTACAGCCCTCGCCTCACTGCTTTGCAGGCATTTTTATTTCGCTAAACGGAGAATGGCTTAGAACTATGTTTTCAGCTACTCGGACTTTATAGCAAACATTCGTGCGATATCCCACGGGCCCATTACCAGCTGAGATCTACGCCCAGTTTGGCAACAAAGTGCAGAACTTGATGTTCTGTCTGACCAAATACAATCGTTCGCTTGCTGTCGACATATTGGCTAAAAGTAAAGGCAATGATTAGGTCAATCCTGAGCGTAGTGTATCACGCGTCTACGGTTTGCTTTTTGAGCGACTGAAAACTGCATACAAGTCAATACTTTGAGCTATTCTCAGTTTTTGCAGAAATAACGATACCTTTCAGGCAGCTAAACGAGGGCTGCACACCAACAACATTAGAAAATGACCAAATAAGGCAACCCCAGCCATGAAATGCTTGCCTAAGCTAATTTATATATCTCATCGCTCAAATCATGACTTTCAAGGCAGCACAAGTGCGTGGAAAGCCTCAATCAACTCTAAAAAAGACTTTCTGACTCCTTTTTCTCTCGAGCAAGAGCTCCTCTACGGTTCCTTGTTTTGGGTAAGGGAAAGGCCCAAACTGCGGGGCAACCTCGTTGCTCGTTAACCTACTATCACCTGCACACTTCGTCCCAGAAGAGGAAGGAACGAACCCGTCCTCATCAGCCTGGAAATTGACATGACATTTATGTTTGGCTGTCTCGCAGATCTAGAACAGCGTACTTGTCATGCCAGTAGTTTCTTGTTGGTTTAGTTCGCTGTTTGCGGTCGCAGAATATTCAGCGTGACATGGTTCGGCCGCGGAAAGTAGAAATGCATACATGTGCAATGTGCATAGCGTGAGTCAGAAGCGGTTACACGCTGCTCACGTTTTCCTATGCTGTCATCAAAGTTGTTCTATCGGGCTGTGACTTGTGTACAGCCATGAATGAATGAGCTCGTCACTGGGCCGTCGAGTCCGGGTACCGCCCGGTGAGACATCTGTTGGAGTTCCGGAGAGCCGTCTCGGTCCGCCGCCGGCGCTGGCTCCAGGTGCGCCCGCCCGCCCGTCCGTCCACCGCTGCAGGGGCGGTGGCTGTCATCGGCCGCCTCCCGGGCTTATCCTCATTGGCCGTGAGTCAGCGCACCTGGGGCCGGTCGCGCATCTGTTTGGACAGCACGTCATCCAGTGCACGTTGAAGTGACATGCACCTGCGGCGTTTGGGAGCTGGTTCCACTAAGCCTGTAAGAGCGTCCCGCCCGCATCACGTCAGTGTTTGGGTAGGTATGACGTGGACTGGCGGCTCAAGCAGCTGCTGGCGACGTTAGTCATCCAGTGCCGGAGTAATCGCCGGTCGCACGCACCGCTCTGATCCGAGCAGCGGCAGGTCGCGGAGCGGGGTGGTGACAAATTCACGGGCGGGCCCCATCCTCATCTTACCGGTGCTGCCTCTGGAGCGGGCCGAGACCACATAACCGGCCCGGTCAGGTCCGGACCAGCCGGGGACGGCGCGGCGCGCGGCGCGAGATCGCCATCTAATTACCGAGCCGTGTGGCGTGCCACTTTGTCGGTGGGCCGGCCGCCGCCGCGCGCCGACCACTTGAAAGGCGGCCCGGTGTCGGTGTCGCGTGCGGCCGGCTGGTCGTGCCGTCTGGCCGGCCCGGTAGCCCTTGATGCTCATGTCGCCGACGGGCTGGCCGCGCGCGCTCATAGCACGCCGAGCGGGCGTAGTCACCTCCTCGGAACTTCAGACACAGACCCTGCTAATTGGACCGAACAGCATTTCGTGCTTCATCGGGCCGGCATTTGGTCGGGGTTTTGTTTTTAATCGCTTGGTCTAAATTAGTGTTCACCCTATTTCGTTTTGATTGTTTTTCGTGGTGTCATGCTCCTGTGATCAGTGAAATCAATAGCTAAATGTACTGCGTAGGACGTCTCGCCTTTGGTATTCATGTTAGCAATCTTAAAGTAGCTAAGAGTATGGTGTGGCTACCGTGCATAATATGAACCCCTCGCGCTCATGCATGCATGAAGGGAGGCGCAATTATCCGACCGATTCGATCCAAGTAGAAACGAATACCAATGCTGCGACCAAATATGGCATTGCTGCTCCAGAAACTGGACAGTTTTATCAGTTCTGGTTCTCGGACTCTAGAGCAGCATCAGTGGAGAGCAAATAGTTACCTACCTGCCTGTGCGGTTGGTCCGGGTAGCGAGCACCCAGGGTCGGAATCGCCAGGGGGTCGCCGTGAGAAATTCAACGGCTGCTTACTTTGTGCGTTCTCGCGTCTACATATATACATACACATATGACTTCGCCCGTTTTTATTTGACGATTGGGGCGACCGACATTTGGCATAGTGTAACGTGTGATAAAGGTAAAGGCTTTGCTTGCACCGTGGTTGTAAGCGAATGAAAAGTGTACCTCTTTCGCTTC